GATTTCTTTTAAGAATTGCTTTTCATCTGACCTCTATCAGCTTTTGGACTGAATCGTGTGTAGCTAATCATAGCTTCATAAGAGCAATCCAAAAGAAATTGGGATTCTTCTAGATACCTTTTTGCATTTAGAATCATTATCTTGCTTACCTTTTAATTTCTACCAGCCTGCTCTTAGTCAGGTATAATTGAGCGTAACCCGCGAGTTTTATATTCAATTACATTGCTGACTGAGATGTTCACAATCAGTAGATTTTCAGAAAAAGTATTTGCACCAGGTTGTTAAAGGAAGATCTATACAAGGTTCTATACTTTTTTGGAGCTTATCGAATATGACTCCACTGCTTCGGTCGCCATAATCATGAACGCTTTTACCCTTCAAAAATAAAATATGTTGGTGTTGTAGCCCGGTAACGTTATGCTGCAGCATTTTTAGCCGATAACCTTTACCCACATTATTCTTTAAACAATAATTTTTGCTCTGTGTTATTGTTACATTCGGAATTGTTTCTAATGTTTTGACTGCGTCACAGATTATGTCACAGATTATGAATTATTTATGTACCAATGCTCAGCACAAACAGTCATGGTGACGATGTCTGTTACTGTATAGGATGACGCTCACGACATATATTATTGTTTAGTCTTCAGTGTAAATGCTAACTGACTCATTCAAAGCATAAAATATTGGTCTCCATAAGAGTGCAAAGTCTAACGGATTTCCAAGTTTTATCTTAATTAAATTTTCGAAATCTTTCTGCACATCAAAAGAATGGCACTATCTGAGACTCAAATTTCTAATGAGCTATCGCTTGTGGTAGAGACATTTTTGTAGAGACCTAAAGCCTAAAAAAGCCGTTGCACAACCGTAGCTAGATTTCTTTCTTCTAAAGTCTCGCCCACACCGTAACCTTTCCCAACGGACCAATGACACGTCATGAATAGGCTGTAAGGGTTCTGGGAGAGAGCCTGAAGGTATCCCACGAATAAACCATTAGTACGACTTGAAGAGATATCCCCGGTATACAAAAATGTTCAAATCACATTCAGCTATCTATACACTATTTTCGACTTTTAGTAATCGTTAAAGTAAATATGCATTGAGGAATAAAAAGTTCTCAAAAGCCCTGAGATTTTTCCTGGTCTGCGATTTTGGCTGTCAAGCATGTCATACTCCATTCTCCTCGCTGCCCTTATCGTCTCAGTCAGTGCCGACTATATCACTATAAGTGGCACATTCCACTGTGATAGAAACCCGAATGCTGCAGTTTACATCGAATTGATAGAGAAAGAGAGTAAGTAACGTTTACTGGTTTTCTTACAACTAGTAGGACTGTATGAGCCTGCTCGTTTAGAGCTTAGTGAAGATGTTCTCAATTGGAAGCTTGTGAGCGCCAATGAAAAGTTCGAAATCGTTGGATACGATGATGAATTTTTTGGCATTCATCCCTGTTTGAAGATTCGAAACAACTGCAATGAAGTGAGTGGTAGGATTTTGTAGCATAAGCTAAGAATTTATTATTATTGAATATGCATTGTCAGGAGCAAGTAGAACAAGTTTATGACTTCGGACGTCGAAACGGCGAAGTGGTTGTGCACATGGGCGACATCGAGCTCCAGCACGAATATCAATGAGAAGCACCGTAATCTGGACTATAATAAACACTACTCTTCGACAATCTCGACAAAAAAGCCTTATGCTTTGAAAATTTCACTTGCAAAAGATATCTACCAGTATAGCAATAATTACCCTCAAACTCGAACATAAATAAAAAGTGTGCGACTCATTGCTGAAGAGATTTTGGTTCAACGAAATTATTGAGTGTCCCAAAAGTAAACTCCTTTGCTTTCCTAAATAAATCGAAGTCTATTGATTAAGCTACAAGACTTGACAT